CCCCTCCGAAAAAAATACTCTCTCTGTTCCATTTTATGTGAACCTATTTCCTTTTTGGTCCGTTCCAATAGGAATGAACCCTTTCTAAATTTCGTAACAATTTAGCTTAAACTTACAACTCTACCCTTAATGAAAAGCTTTTATAACCACACAAATACTCTGGGGGCCATTTGGATTTGTTTAGGACCACAAATTTCAAAAGTCTTCATTTTTTTCTTAAACTCCGTGCCCAGTCAAACAGGCTCACATAAATTGGAACGGAGGGAGTAACTAGTTTCTCCTATTCTTCTTTTCAAATACATGAGGCAGTCACATTTAAATCCTTTTCAACTAGTTGCTAAACGATTCAAAGATTTCTACTAATTGGAGGAGCTAAGGTTAGAAATTAATTTCTTTAATAAACTAACCTCAGATTTCCATAATATTTTTCAGAAAAGTTAAGATATAGATTTTGTAAAGCATTTTTCTTTTTGAAATTCATATATTCCTTTTTCTTTTTTCTTTTTTCTTTTTTCTTTTCTTTTCTTTTTTTTTTTTTTTTTTTTTTTTTTTTTTTTTTTTTGCTTTTGAGAAGGGAGAGGTTTGGAGGAAATTCCGTCTTTTGAGTTAAAGTTATATCTAGTGTTGTATCTAGTCTAGCTATTTCCAATCTTGTACCTTTTTCTCCAGGTGCATGTCAAAATGCTACAACCACTAAAAATTGATGTACGATCAGACCAAGATTTTGCTGTACAATATAGATGCGTTCATATATATCCAATACTATATCACCTTTATGAATTAAATAGCTAAAGACTAGTATAATAATTGCATGAAAGGGAGAGTTCCACTTCCACATTCCATGTCCTAAAAGTAGATTTCTTTGTATATTTATATTAAATAATGTGTGTATTCAAACAGAGTAAAGCTGAGTTGCCTTTAATACTGGTATAATTCCTCCTCCTTGTCAGCACATGCATTCCACTTTCCACTACAAAATTTCCTTTGAACCCCAAAATTTTACCTCACTTACAAGAAAAGAACACCCCCCCCCCCCCAAATCCTACACTCTCACTGCAAAATATATACATATAATATCTCCTCCCCCTTATATTATTTCTTCAATTCTGTTCTTCTCTCTCTACACAATCCTAGAATTGTTTCAGCTTTTGTCATCTTTGTGAAGGCTTCTTAGGGTTTTCTTGAGTTCTTGGATCTCCTCTTCAATTCCAGTCAATTACAGCACAAATTAAACTATCTAGTTTCTAGCTTCTTTCTATTTTTACTACTCCTAACTTGTTACACATGAAAACAAGATTTTCAATTCCTTAATCCTACAACTTTCCAACTTCTTTTTTCCTTCTTTGAAAGTGAATATTTCATCAAAATATGAGAACAGGAGGCTGCACAATACAACAAGCTCTAACAACTGAAGCAGCAGCTGTTGTAAAACAAGCTGTGCAACTTGCTAAACGTCGCGGCCATGCCCAAGTAACACCTCTCCATGTAGCAAACACCATGCTTTCTTCTTCAAATGGTATACTCAAAACAGCTTGTCTTCAATCTCATTCTCATCCTCTCCAATGCAAAGCCCTAGAGCTTTGCTTCAACGTCGCGCTCAATCGCCTTCCTGCATCGTCTTCTAGCCCCATGTTATTGGGCCATGGCCATCATCATCAATCTCAATATCCTTCCATTTCTAATGCGCTTATTGCTGCCTTCAAGCGAGCCCAAGCCCACCAAAGGCGAGGATCGATTGAGAATCAACAGCAGCCTCTTTTAGCTGTGAAAATAGAGCTTGAGCAACTTATTATTTCTATATTAGATGATCCTAGTGTGAGTAGGGTTATGAGGGAAGCTGGTTTTTCTAGTCCTCAAGTCAAAAGCAATGTGGAACAAGCTATTTCTTTAGAGATTTGCTCTCAAAGTCCTCCTCCTAATTCAAGTAAAGAAAATAGCCAAGTAGTAACAAGCAATAAAGTAATAAACCCTATTGCTGTTAAAGATGAGGATGTGATGAGTGTGGTGGAAAGTTTAATGAACAAAAGAAAGAAAAGTATTGTGATAGTTGGTGAATGTCTTGATAGTTTAGAAGGTGTGATTAAAGGGGTGATGAATAAAGTTGATAATAGAGATGTACCTCAAGTTTTAAAAGAAGTTAAGTTCATTAGTTTACCACTTTTAACTTTTGGTAATATCCAAAGAGAAGAAGTTGAACAAAGAATAGGTGAGTTGACTTGTCTTGTTAAGAGTTTAGCAGCAAAAGGAGTTGTTTTGTACTTGGGTGATCTTAAATGGATTGCTGATTTTAGGGTTAATAGTTGTGGTGGGCAAGGGAGAATTAGCTACTATTGTTCTGTGGAGCACATGATTATGGAAATTGGGAGATTGGTATGTAGTTTTGGGGAAAATCAAAAAATTTGGCTTGTGGGAATTGCAACATTTCAAACTTACATGAGATGCAAAAGTGGTAACAATTCATTGGAATCTATTTGGGGCTTGCATCCTGTTACACTCCCTGGTGGCAGTTTGGGCCTCAGTCTTAAACCTGACAGGTAATAACTGTTTTGACTTTCTAATTATGATTTCATTCTTTTCTTGCCCCCTGTTTTTTTTTTTTTTTTTTTTTAATTTGAATTTTTACTTTAAATTGGACTTAGTAAGTTCATCTTCCATATTTTCTTGGATTTTCTCTGCTTTTTGTATATGCCTTACCGATTATGTTCTTCGGATATTCTACAATTATCGTCATACATCCTCCAAATATTATGCATTTTTTGAGGATTCCATACAAAATGCAACGATAAAAGGTTTCTTGGAAATAATCTTTTTGTTGAAGAGAGTAACCCAAGATTTTGTGGTGAAAAAGAGAAAGATCTAGAAAGAATAAAAGCATTACACTCTTTTATGTTTTCTATAAGTATTCCTCAAAAGCATCGTTGTTCCTCAATCTTCTTCTTTAATTAGTTTCTCCAACAACTAAAACAAAAAAATGCATGCTGCTCTATAGCAATATAATGTTTATATCAAACTGATCATACTTCATTTTTGCCTTTGAATTTTCTAAACAGTGATACACAAAACAGTGCTTTTAACACTGAGTCTACGTTGTCAAGTCTACCTTCATGGCTTAAAGATCATGAGAAGCAAAGAAATAGTACTCCTAAAAATGATCAGGTTATTTTCGAATCTTTAGCGTTGCAGTTTCCACACATCAATGCTACGCCTTAATTCTTCTTTTCCTTTCTCTTTTTTCTAGAAAATTAACTTATCTTTTCCCAATTCAGAACTGTGTATCGGTCAAAGAGCTACACAACAAGTGGATAACAACATGCAGTTCTATACATAAAGACACCAAAAGTTTGTCCTTTCCTTCTTCAGATGCAAATTTGGACCATAATTTGCCATTTTGGGCTAATAGGAAAACATGTGAGACAAGTTTAAGAATCTACATTCCTGACCACAACAACGACAAAGGAAATAATGTTGCATTATCATCATCTAATTCAAGTGATGTTATTATGGAGATGGAGTTATGTGTTCCAAAGTTGAAGGAGTTCAATTCTGAAAATTTGAACATTTTGTCCAATGCATTAGAGGAAATAGTCCCATGGCAAAAGGAAATTATTCAAGAAATTGCTGCCACAATATTGCAATGCAGGTCTGGAATGATTAGAAGAAAAGAGAAAATTATTGGTAGTGAAGCAAAAGAAGAAACTTGGTTATTTTTCCAAGGTCCTGATGTTGAAGCCAAGGAGAAAATTGCTAGAGAATTGGCAAAGATTGTGTTTGGATCATATTCTAATTTTGTATCAATTCCCTTGAGCAGCTTTAAGGCAGATTCAACAGAGGATTTTAGGAACAAAAGGTCAAGAAATGAACAAAGTTGGAGTTACATTGACAAATTTGCTCAAGCAGTAGTTTCTTCTAATAATTCTCATTGTGTTTTCTACTTAGAGGATATTGAACAAGTGGATTATTTTTCCCAAAGGGGAATCAAGAAAGCTATTGAAAGAGGAATTGTCACAAATTCAAGTGGTGAAGAATTGAGTCTAAATGATGCCATTATCATTTTGAGCTGTGAGAATTTTAGTTCTAAGTCAAGAGCTTCTTCTCCTACTGTGAAGCAGAAATCATCTGAAGAAACTACAACAAGCCCTTGTGTTTCTTTGGATTTGAATATCTCCATTGATTATGATCAAGAAAGAGATGAAGATTTGTCCAATATTGATGATATTTGGCTGCTTCATAGTGTTGACAGATGTATTTTTTTCCAAAATTCAAGAGCTGTAGAAGAATAGAATCTAGCTACCTATTATTATGTGATGAGATGAGTTTCTTTATTAATTTCTTCATTTTTACTTTATTGGTTTCTTGTCTTTCAAATAGGAGGTCAAAAGAGTTATGACAACCTCTTTTTTCTGTACTAAAGTTTTGTAAATAGAACTTCCAAATAGAATTACTTCCTTAATGCTATATGTTTACTTCTCTTCGTTCAAGATTCATCCTTTTAGAACATCCGATAAAATTGAAATGATATAGATAAGATTAGCATGACTTCTGTATAAAAATAACACGCACAAATCGAGAAAATACCATGAGCCATCTTGAATACTTTTGGAAATAAAATGCATGAGTAAAATCCTTATCCGTGATGATGGTCATAGTTATATTGCATTAACAGAGGCAAATCTAAAATTTAAATTATTTATGAATTCAAGTTTAATTTTTTTTTTTTTTTGGTAACCTGTGAAAATTACCATTAACAACCACATTAATACACCTACAGAGCACTTAGGAACACAAACACCTTCTAGGAAGGGTGCGATGCTCGCTAAGCCTCAAGATTAAAAAAAAAACACTAATTACATATTCTGAAAAGCAAATGTCGATATCTACCAGCTCTTTTTGTATCTTGTATACTCTCTAGTCTTTATTTATTATTTATGAGTTTAATGTTCTTATAGTATTTGTTAAAATTTTGTTATTTATGAGTTCAAATTATTTAAGATTTAGTATTTATTAAAATTTTATGGATTTTTCGCATATATATTTAGGTCATATATTGCATCATCCCCCTCTAAGTACATATGATATGATTTTCTTATAAAAGAAACGGAGGACTAGGAAGATCACTATGATGCATATCATTATTATTGCATGATTTGAAAGATACAAACAATATGTATGATTAACTAGATAACAAACATGCATCATCAGCTCCTTCCTTTCTAAAAATATTTAGTAAACTTATGGAGGGTGGACCCTCTCTATTACTATTCTTGCCTTGAATGATTCAAGCATATCACAAATGCATAGAAAAAGTAATACAAAATTTATGCTTCTAACCAGGTATCTTTTTACAACAAACAATAATGAGATTTGAACCATCTACTCCTATTTACTTTGGGAACTCCTAGGAGAAAAGGAACAAGTTGTGTTGATAGTGTACTCCAAGAATAGCATAATGACATTATCATGGTAAAGTCTATCATGTCTCACCTTTCACTGTACCAGCGGACTCTATAATAAGACATCCAAAGTTGTTATTTGATGAATAAAATAGCAAATGCTAAAAATGGTGGCATTCCGCGTTCACATACGGTCCGGAGAAGGGCCGCACCCCAAGAGGTGTAATATAGACAGTCTACGGTAATGCAAGCATTAGTGGCTACTTCCTTAGCTCGAACTCATAACCTATAGGTCACATGAAGACACATTTACCGTTACTCCGATGCTCCCCATTCCTCGCATTGCCATGCTGAAACAAAAATAATAAATGATTATGTGTAAGTTTTTTTTTTTCCTTAAGAAAATGGTGTAAAAGATAAATAAAAAAAGGAAAAAGTTGAAAATCCACATTGTCTAAGCTAAATGCTTAGAGTCTAATAGATAAATACTTCAGCGTAGGTAAAAAATATTAGATGATTTCTTTTTGTCTTTCCAAGCTTTAGTCAGCAGAATTACTCAATATTTATGCTGGTAAGAGGTAACAAATTCTCTTTAAAATTAATCAAATGCGTGCAAATTGGTCCAAACATCATAGTTATATAAAAGTAGACACATACTTCAGTTTTAGCAACTATTTTTCAGTGGTAATGATCACTTTCTATTTTCTTAGTCATTTCATGAATTTTTCGAGAGAGAAAAAGTGAAAAAGTTTGCTTGCTGCTTCTAAGTTCTAACACTTAGAAAGTTGCATGTTTAGAATTTTTTCCCCTCCTGCTTGAGTACTTGAGCTGTGAGAGGCTCACAGGCTTTAATTTGTGATAATCATTGGCATCAGAGGATAATAGAATTCATACGAAAAAAGAAAAAAGAGAAATTTCATTAATGTCACCGACATTTTTTCTCATTCTTTTTCCTTTTCTAGATTGGAGGAATAAAAGAAAAAGGATAAGGTTTCCTTCTTTTCATTAAAACTCAAATTTTTTCCAAAGAAGACTGTTCCCAATGAACTTTCCTTATGAATTTTTTTTTTTTTTTTACAGACCAAAAGTAAAAGTATTGTTGTTTTCACCTTTGCCTTTTTCCCCCTCTTCTTTTTTCTTTTTCTTTGCTCAAATTCCATGTTCTTTTTTTTTTTTTTTTTTTTGAAATTTGCTTTATTAATGAGAGCATAAATCAGAAAGGCAAGAGACTATAATTATGTTCTTTTAAGATTCTAAATGTAGACATAATCATTTTGTTCGTTTAGCATCTGGCTTAGGGATTAAGAAAGACTTTTTCTTCGGGAACTAAGAATTGAGAAAGCGAGTATTCCATCTGAACGTTTGTCTTCAATCAAATAGTTTAATATGTAGCCAACTATTACTAAAGATTGTGATGGATAAAATCGAGTAACAGGGACATCGTATTTGTGCACCTGTTAACCACAGCGGAAGTTTTTCGCAGAATCTGTTCCAATTAATTGCCCGAATCCGATTTCGTCGCTCTTGGAAACGAAATTCTTGTTCACGAACTAAATACCTTGTTTTTGTTTATCACATTGTGCTTCTTTCTTAGGGAGAATCACTTCATTGTTTTTTTCTCTGTTGAGGAAGAAAGATATATAAAGGAGAGAGAGGGTCACGGGTCGCTCATATAGACTGACCTACCCATTTAGAGGAGATAAAACCTAAAAGAGGTTACCTAGGGAGTTAAAACACAGATAAATAAGAAAGAAAAACTGCCGCTCACACAATCACACGTTCCCATTATTTTTCTAACGTGCAACATTTCTTTTATTTATCTGTGTTTTAACTCCCTAAGTAACCTCTTTTAGGTTTTATCTCCTCTAAATGGGTAGGGTCAGTCCATATGGGCGACCCGTGACCCAAACCCAATATCCAACATCCCCACTTTTCACTTGATGGGCTAGACCCAAACCAGTGCATGTGAATAACACACGTAATTCATACTGGTAAATAGATCGCGCGACCTGCGAGCATTAACAGCTACATTATTCTTACACCCTTTAAGGTTATTTAATAGCTCGATGTAGAAATCCAATCACATGTGGAAAGGATTCACTACTACCAAGAGGATCTTATTATTACTCGCAATATCCCAGACATTGTTGTCTACTCTAGTAGCTAGTTATCCGATCCCTCATCCTCGAAAAGAGGTGAACTCGAGTTCATATTTAATTTTGTATCCACAATTACACCCAATACCTCATGGTAAGTGTAATGGGTCGACCTATGGATACAGGTTAAATTACTAAATTTTAGTCGTCTTCCCTTTCTACTCGAATCTTTCCATTCCAAATCAACTGCTTTCCTAGACATGTACTGCATTGCCGAATCACTCATGGCTATTAGTGACATGCTAAAGTAGCAACACTGATTAGCACTTCAAGAGACAGTAAAAGGTCAAAGGGTATTCTAATAAAAGTTGATATAACTTCTTTGGGATCTCACACAATGAAGAAGCAGGGATTCATTCTTCCATTATCCCATGGTCGATAGCACACGTGGTATGAAACACATGTTACGGTGTTCTCACCTTATATTGGCGGGTGTTCCTTATTCTTTTAATCATTCAACACCGTACAGATTTTGGTCTAGACACCTCCAAATGTCTAACCCGAGTTTCTCACTTCAATAATCCTCAAACCATCTTCTTAGAGAAACTCGCATCTGGCTTACAAAACAAGTCATAATCGAATAGTGAAATTCGTAAGTCTGATTAGTTGTCAAGACCGACCTTTACAAGTAAATATAACCTCGCATTATCCAAGGTTATATAAGGTCTCATCTTTTCACGACTTTTAATGTAAGAGGCGATTGATCGTGTGAGAGAGCCAATCTCGCGACTTGTTCGACACACTTTATCAACAAAACATTCATCACATGCATACGAGATATAAGCATAAATTCAAGAGTCAAATATTGATGAGCATATTATAACACTAAAGTCATTTTACAATACATAAATATGTTCATATCCTTCGCAAACCTAGAGCCATAACATGATTCTCAAACAGGTCTCTAGATATCGCCTTTGTAAAAGGATCAGCTATCATGCTTCGTGTAGGAATGTACTGAAAATTAATCTCTCCCCTTGCTACTATGTCTCTCACAAAGTTATACTTCATGTCAAAGTATTTGGTCTTGCTGTGATACTTAGGATCTTTTGTATATGCAATAGCCGCTTGACTATCACAATATAGAGTCATGGGACCCTGAGAGTTCTTTGTAATATCCAAATGCTCAAAGAATCTCTTCAACCAAATAGCTTCTTGTACTGCAGACGCACAAGCCATGAACTCAGCTTCCATCGTTGAAAGGGCTGTACAGGTTTGTTTCTTACTTTTCCATGATATAGCACTACCATTTAGTAAGAAGGCATAACCGGATGTTGATTTTCTATTATTCCGATCACCAGCCCAATCAGCATCTGTATATCCTCTCAAGTAAAAATTATTTCCATTATAACATAGTGAATAATCTGCAGTTCCCTTCAGGTATCTAAAAATTCTCTTCATAATTTCCAGTGATCTCTTCCAGGATTGGATTGATACCTGCTAACCAAACCTACGGCATAACAAATGTCTGGGCGAGTACACATCATAGCATATATCAAGATCCCGACAGCACTTGAATATGGAACTCGAGACATGTCTTCCTTTTTATTTTCAGTCTTGGGACACATTTCAAGGCTTAAAGTTTCAGCTCTCGCTATAGGAGTATCCATGGATTTGCAACTATTATGCGAAAACGCTCCAAATTTTCTTTATATAAGTTTCTTGAGATAGACTCAATAACGTTTTGGAACGGTCTCTTTGGATCTTAACTCCAAGGATATAGTCTGCCTCACCTATATTTTTCATGTCAAATGACTTGAGCCATGACTTGATAGTTTTCAAATACTCCAATTTGTTTCCGGCTAATGAAATATCGTCCACATAAAGAGAAAGAATTAAAAACATCCCATTGGACTTCTTCACATAAATGAATTGGCCTTCATTGATCAT